GGGGATGAGTAGCCTTCAGGGTTTATCTCTCCGCTCGAGGAGGGGTTTTGGTCGGTAAGAATCCGACACTACCTCCCTTCAGGGGGTGTCTTTTGAAGATTTCCCCTCCTCGAGAATAATCTAAACAAAAAAAAAAGATCGAGTTGTAGTTAGTACGACAACGAGTTCAAGGCGATACAAAGCAAAAAGAACTGATTAAGTGTTTATGTAATGGTGAATTGTTAACTAATTAATAATAGAAGTGTTAATTAATTAATAGATAGTTAAATAAAAGTAGTAAAAGGGTGAGAAGGTGTTTAAATACATGACATTATTTAATAAATTAGGTACTTAGCTACCAACGGAATAAAGTACGATCAGCTCCCAAACTCCTACTGAAAGTACTTGCGATGATTGTTTCTCGTAGGTTTGAAATCGCATTTGCTGTTTACTAGGAAGGAATTTTAACATCCTCCTCACGGAAAATTAGAAACCACACAATTTAGATAGAAAAAGGAGTAAATTTCTTACCCAGAAGGGAATGTTGCGCTTTCATCCTTGAAATCAGGAAGAAAAAACATCATACAAAAGAACTTTCAATTCAGTTTAGAAAATCCCTGGTATATTGGTCAGACTAAGACACCTCATTACGTAAAAATCCATGAGTACAAAAACGACTATAAAAAGCAAATATTAGTAGCCCCTTCATATAAAATTGCGCTCATTAAACACTGTCGAAACTGGGCATAAGCTCAATTTCGACAATTCAAGATTTTACATATAGAAGAAAACTATTTCAGCTTATTCTTAGAACCATCCTTTATTCTGTTACAAAACGATTAAGCTATAAATTCTCGATCAGACTTAGAAAACAACCTTGTAGTTTGTAATTCTTTCAATACCTACAAAAAATTCAAAAACAATAAAAACATACATACAACTAAAAACTACCTAATATTAAAATTAAATTAACTAACTACTATATCTCTATGTATACTAAATTAATATATAATATACACACTATTTACGTATTTTTAGAAAATTGTTTTTGTATTATATTATTGTCCTGTTCTGTCCTAGTGTACCACGTGGCTTTTAGAATTGTTTTAACTATCTATTTATTTATTCTCTTATCTTTACACGCTTTTAATAATTTAATATTTATTACAAAATAAGAGAAGAATGATCAATAGAATATAGGGCTACGTCTGGGGGACCTGATGGTCGATCGGGGTCGATAGTCGAAGGTTTCTAGACCTCTTACTAGTAGGTCAAAGAAAATGTAAGTAAACACATAGGTATTGGGACAAATATTGAAGGATTGAAAATTATCGATACGTTCCATCTAACGCTGTGATATGGGCTCACTCAGATTTTATTACATCGTTACTTTAGTTAATGAAAATCCTAAAAAAAGTATTTGTCTGTCACTATATACAATAGCTTGTCTAACTACTTAACATGAATGCTAGAATAGCGGTCTTTGAAATTTTAACCCCCGATTGACGGAATTATAAAGCGAATCATTTAGAGATTTTAAATGCCTACGCATAGTTTACTAGTGAATAATTAGCTACAGTCCGGCTCATTATTCCCCTTATAAACCTGAATTAACCAGTGAAAAATTATTTTTGTAGAGTGAATTCGATCTTAAGAAAATTTAGCGTGGAGTTGCTTTGACTAGGCAATACGACGAGGCTTTTTATTTCGAAAAGGTCATTCTTCTTCATTCTTCTTATGGTCAGTAAAAGAGAAAGTTCTCCCGAAAATAATCCTTGACCAGAAATTTCAATTGTTTGAAATGCTTGTTTTTTCCTGGTTTACCTACTAACCACAAACACTGGCACAAATCATAAAGTTAATAATACTTAGGGCCAAATTGAAACAGCAAAGTTCACCTTTTTCTATAACTTATAATTTCAGCAACTGTGTTACCCCCATAACTAAAGCATACCTACATCCGGGGAAAAACAAATTCAAATGCAGTTGTCATTATCACTTTTTAAAACTGAGTTAAAGTGAAATTTACAATTCTTATATCTCCTTTCCATTGACAACT